AGAGACCACCTACTCCCATAGAACAGAGACCACCTAACCCCATAGAGCAGAGACCACCTAACCCCCATAGGGCAGAGACCACCTAACCCCCATAGAGCAGAGACCACCTACTCCCATAGACCAGAGACCACCTAACCCCATAGAGCAGAGACCACCTAACCCCCATAGGGCAGAGACCACCTAACCCCCATAGGGCAGAGACCACCTACTCCCACAGAACAGAGACCACCTAACCCCATAGAGCAGAGACCACCTACCCCCATAGAGCAGAGACCACCTAACCCCATAGAGCAGAGACCACCTACTCCCATAGAACATAGACCACCTACCCCTATAGAACAGAGACCACCTACCCCCATAGAACAGAGACCACCTAACCCCCATAGAGCAGGGACCACCTAACCCCATAGAGCAGAGACCACCTACTCCCATAGAGCAGAGACCACCTACTCCCATAGGGCAGAGACCACCTACCCCCATAGAGCAGAGACCACCTACCCCCATAGAGCAGAGACCACCTACCCCCATAGAACAGAGACCACCTAACCCCCATAGAGCAGGGACCACCTACCCCCATACAGCAGAGACCACCTACCCCCATAGAGCAGAGACCACCTAACCCCCATAGAACAGAGACCACTCGCCCCCTCACGCACGCTGCTGGAAAGCCAGAGCAGTAGGAAGGTCTCCCACTCCGTCCCGTCGTCCTCACCACAGCCCAGGGCAGGGCAGTGTGGTTGTTCCTCTGCATGCACAGGGAAACTGAGGCATGGAGAGGCTAGTTGGGGTTCCTAAGCACACAGGGGCAGGGGGATTGGCCCAGCTCGTGTGGCCGCTGGTGTGCACCCTGCGGCTGCCCAGCATCCACTCGCCCGTACCCCCCTCCCTCCTCCTGCTCACCGCGCCCCACTCTTCCAGATCATCCTGGTGAGCCCCTCGCTCAGCGACCGCGACCAGAGCCTCTTCCTCAGCACCGACGAGGGGGCCTCCTTCCAGAAGCAGCTCATCTCCTTCTTTGTGGAGACGCTGACCTTTCACCCCAAGGAGGAGGACAAGGTCCTCGCCTACACCAAGGAGAACAAGGTGAGGGCCGTGGCCGGGGTCCCGCACCGCTCCCCTCCCTGCTCGCTCGGCCGCTCCCTGAACTTCTCCGTCGCCGCCAGGCAGGGAAGCGGGCCTCTGGGGCCTCAGCTGAGTGGCCCTGCCGGCCCTTCTCCCTGGCCTCCTTTGACTCTGTGTCAGCTCTCAGGATAAGATCTGTCACGGTGCTGCGGGAGGACTGAGGACCACAGTCCAAAGGCAACAATTCACCCACAGTCTTCCTTATTCCATGTGCAACTTTCACATGCCCATGAGGCTTGACTCAGGCACACGTCAGTCATCGGACCAGTGGGCAGATGAGAGGATGTAAGGATGGCTGGAGAGGTGAACGGATTGATAGATGACCAGGTGAACGGACGGGTGGATGGCTAGGTGAATGGGTGGGTGGGTGGCTAGGTGAATGGGTGGGTGGATGGCTAGGTGAATGGATGGATGGATGGATGGATGGATGGATGGATGGATGGATGATTAGGTGAATAGATGGGTGAATGACTAGGTGGATGGATGGGTGAATGACCAGGTGAATGGGTGGGTGGGTAACTAGGTGAATGGGTGGGTGGATGACTAGGTGGACGAGTGAGTGGGGGATCGATGGAAGAAAGCAGGAGCAATAGTGGTTGGTTGGCTGAATGGATGGATGAGTAAATGAATTGTAGTGACAGGAACAGCTCAGTAGAGTCTGGTGGTCTGAATGATGGCTCTCGACAGGACTCGGCCTCCCTGCCACCACCTGGTCCTTGTGTGTCCAAAGCCTCCTGGCTGCCTCTGCCCAGGCACCTTCCTCGGGGCAGCACAGACTGCTGGGAACTGGTCGTGCTCATTGGCCTCTGTGTAATTGGCCTGACGCACCATCACTGAGATGGATTTGCCGGCGGTCCCTGACAGCTTGGCGATGGCCTCTGCTCACAGCGCTGAGGCCGGGCTGCTGCCCATCGACCCTGCTCTCGAGAACAAGGGACAGGGGGCGGCCGAGTCTTAGCTGCGGCTGCAGGAGGAGTGAGGGTTCGGGGACATTCACAACCTTGGCTCTCATGGTGGTGCTTAGGGCTTTGTGACCTTCGAAGGCTCTCTGGTAGCACAGTGGGTTCAGTGTGGGCCTGCCAATGGGAAGGCCGGCAGTTCGAATCCTGCAGCTGCTCTGAGGGAGGCAAATGAGGCCATCTGCCTCCATGAAGATTGAGTCCTGCACCCTTGCAAGGCAGCTCTGCTCTGCCCACGGGTCACCGTGTGTCCTGCTCGCCTCTGTGACAGCAGGCCGTGGGTGGTTTTCACAGAGTGCCAAAGCTACAGGCTGGCTCAGGGCACCCTGCCCCAGTGGCCCCGGTGGGTGGGACCAGCCCAGGAGAGGCCAGTCCCAGCCAACGCAGCTCCAGCCTGGGGGATACAGGCTCCCCAATGTTTCCGTGTCTCTTTGTCCCAAGCTCTACGTGTCCTCTGACCTGGGGAAGAAGTGGACGCTGCTACAGGAGCGTGTGACTAAGGATCATGTGTTCTGGTGAGCCCTCTCCCCCACCTCCCGCTAGGTCCAGACTGGAGGCCCCCTTCCATCCCTCCGGTATGCCTGTACTCCCACCCGGGGCCTCCCATCTGCTGGACTGGCTGGCGCTGGACATTACTAACTCCACCCCACCCTGACCGCCTGCCTGCTGTTTCTGCCCCCAGCTGTGCCACGCCCCCTGGGGCCCTCTCACCCAGCCTCCTCCTGGGCAGGGAGTGGGGGCCAGCGTCTCCACCTCCCGCTATGGCGGGTGCCCCTCCTCTAGGGCCTCCCACCCTTCTCTAGGGTTCACCAAAGTGTCCCTCCACAGCCTGGCCTGCCCGAGCCCCTCAGGAGCCAGTGAGTGTGGTGGGGGCAGGCCAGGCCCCAGACACTACCTACAAGGAATCCATGGGTGGTGAGGGGTGGGTGGGGCATGCCCAGTCTAGAGCCAGGAGGACAAGCCCAGGCCAGCAGCTGCCTGCTCCCTCACTCTCCTCCTGGGGCCGCTCGCCAGCCCCTCTGGAGCTGTGGACTTGCTGGGAGGCCGGGGCAGCCCCTGGATGGGAAGGGGGCCCCAAAGTCCGGCAGACCGCATGCTGGAGCAGCAGGCCTATCTGTCCTCTCTCACAGATGTCCTGGCGTTGATGGTGTGCAGTGACACACGTGTCCCCCGCACAGCACACTTCACTCTGCTCGTGGGAGCACACACACAAGCACAAACACACTCGTGCTTGTACCCACAGGGCTCTTACCCACGCACATTCACACGTGCACACACGCATGTCCTTCCCCACAACCCTCTGCTGGTGTCAACACGCACCCATGCACGCACTCCCACTACACAGTGCTCTGACAGACTCCACTCATTCACTCGCATCCACACACAGGCGTGCACGCACACTTACACAGTCACATGCTTTCTCTCAGCCCCCGGTGTAGAACCCCAGTGTAGGGCCCGGGGGCGCCTTGCATGCTCGTCTCCGTTGGCTGTGGTCACTTGTGTCTCTGACTTCGGGCCTGGGCCTCCCGGGGAGGTGGGCGGCTGGCCGAGGCTGCAGGGTGCCCGCACGGAGGAGCAGTGGTAAATTGGCGATCATTCCAACCTGTCATTACCTCAGCCATCAAGTGCTGCCTCCCCTGGCTGCCTGTGGTGGTGGTGTCTGTGGTGGTGGGCCCCAGGCTGGGGCGCCCATGGTGGTGTTTTGACAGCGTGTCCGGCTCTTTGTCCTTGGGCTGCCAGTGGGGCTCAGCACTGCCTGACAGGCGGGCTCATTAAGACCACAGAAGCCAAACACACGCAGCTCATTAGGCTGGGCTGGGGGTGGGGGCAGGGAGGCCCTCACATCCTGCCGCCCCGCCCTGCCTCTGCTGGTACACCACAGACAGAGGACATGCGCCCAGAGGGAAGGCCCTTGTGCAAGGTCAGGACACCCACCAGCTGCTGCATGCTGGCTGTGGGGCCTGAACCCTCCCCTCCGTGCCCCCACACTCCATGCCAGTGCTGAGTTGCGGCCAGGCAGGACCCTGCTGTGGATTGGGGGGGGGCAGGCAGAGAACCAGGAGATGAGAAGAAAGAGGAGGAGGAAGTTGGGAGGGGGGAGATAATGAATAAGGGAATGAATGAGGGAGCAGATGAGTGAGAATAAATGGTTGAATTAGTGAGGGAGTGACAGTGTGTTGTGAAAGAATGAGAGAGTGAGCAAGTGAGTGAAGGAAAATGAATTAGTGGATGAGTGAATGAGTGAGTGAGAGCGTGAGTGAGTGAGAGCATGAGTGAGTGAATGGAAGCATGAGTGAGTGAATGAGTAAGTGAGTGGGAGAATGAGTGAGTGAGTGGGAGCATGAATGAGTGAATGAGTGAGTGAGTGAGTGGGAGCATGAGTGAGTGAGAGCATGAGTGAGTGAGTGAG